CAACAACGGTGAGAGTGGAACGGTGTAGCTCTGATGAAGGCTCTGTGTAAGCTCTGATGATGACTCTGATGAAGGCTGTGATGAAGGCAAAAGCTAAGATTTTCAAAAAAAATCAAGGAGAAGAATGGAGAGGAAGAGAGAGATAGAGAGGGTAGGCAGAGAAATAGGAGGGAAGGTGGGTAGACAGAGGGTAGATGGGGAGGCAAATCATTAGTGATGGGAAACAGAGGTTAGATACTGAGAGAGAAGATGGAGAAACAGCCTTGTTGGACGGGAACATCAAAGGAAATGTGTAGATATTAGAATTATCTAAACCATTGATATAAATTTAGGATTAATCTCAGTCATTGGATCAAAATGTATCTCACATACATTTTTGACATAATTCAAAACCTTTGTGACTTATTATATAATATTTTTTTAGATAGACATTCATCATTCAACAATACATATCCATAAGTTCATCAACATACAAATATTCAAATGTTAATTTAAGTCCAATAACCAATGCAAGTAAAGAAATAATATAATATTGACACACCAAAAAAAAAAAAAATTACAAATATACTTCAAATATCAATTATTTCTTATAATTTGAAAATTATAAATATCTCATTATTATAATTTTTTATTTAAGAAAATTAATTAAAAAAATAAAAGGAAGATTGACCAATAAGTCTCATATTTTGAATTTGTGATTCATACAGTTTTATATTTTTTCTTGTAATTTATTTAGTAATTTTGAATATGTAATAACTCATTTACCCACTACAATGGAGTGTCACATTTAAAAAAAGCATACTAAGAAATTTTTTTAGTGTCACATCATATCTATTATGTTGAAGTGTCACATTAAGAAAAACAAGAGACCCCATTTGTGGAGGACCCCCACAACCCCCTTTGTGATCCATACCATTCATGATGTGGACCTTATACATACATGAGTGGCCCCACACATCATGAATGGTGTAGATCAGTAAGGGGGTCGTGGGGTCCTCCACAAAGGGGGTCTGACTCATTTTTCTAAGAAAAAATACATTAATGAGTTTTTAATTTTTTAGGAGTGTTACATTATACCCGCCACGTTATTATATTTGAAAAAAATACACTGAGAAGTTTTTAATTTTTTTAGAATATCATATATAGTTTTTTTTAAGTGTTAAGAGTGTCACATGTTACATTTGAAAAAAAAATACATTAAAAAGTTTTTAATGTTTTTTAAATTATCACACCATACCCACCGTATCATCACATTTGAAAAAAAGTACACTAAGGAGTTTTTAGTTACAACATCATACCTGCCACATCGTTACATTGATTTGAAAACCTGGCTAAAAGCCAGCTTTTTGATTTTTTAGCTTTTTTGGGTCACATTTACTTCTCTATTTTTATACAATTTTTTTTTAAAAAAAAAGTCAAAAAAGGCTAGCTTTTAACTTATTTCTCAAAACAAAGTAGGTTAAAAGCTTGTTTTTTTATTTTTTATTTTTTGAAAAAATATGTAAAAAAGTAAATAAGTGATGTGATAAAAAATAAAAAATAAAAAGGTCAAAATGTCAAAAAACTAGCTTTCAACCTAATTACCAAAATAGACCTTCGGAAAAGTACACTAAAGAGTTTTTAGTTTTTTTTTTGAATGTCACGCCATACTCGTCACATTGCTACATTTAAAAAAAAATACACTAAGAAATTTTTAGTTGTCATATCATACCTGTCACGTCATCACATTTAAGAAAAGTACACTAAAGAATTTTTAATTTTTTTAAGTGTCACATCATACCTGTCACGTTGAAGTGTCACATGTCATATTTGAGAAAAGTACACTAAAGAGTTTTTAATTTTTTTGGAATGTCACGTCATACCCACCACGTTGAAGTGTTACATCATTCCTATCACATTAATAAAAGGGTATAATTGTCTACCAAAATACTATCAAAATTGAAAATAGGACCACACAGAATGAAACTCTTCACTAATAAAACTTAACAGATTAATAGAAAAAAATTTAAGACTAATTAAAGTATTTGTTTATGAAATAGAATCTTTTTTGTCTTTTACTTATACCTTGAGGACACTTGTTAACTAAATCCATCATTAAAACTTTTTTCACAGAAAAAAAAAATATAACAAAAGTTAAAACGGAAATTTTAAAAATAGAGAGAAAGTATTTATCTAAAAGATGTAGAAACTAATGAAATATTATAAAAACTTAAAAATACCAAAATATCCTTACGTTCATTCACTCAACTTTTAATTCCAAAGTATCACAACCATCCTTCATCGCCATCACTACCTTTCCTTCGCTATTCTCTATCTTCCGTTCCACTTACAATCATTTTTCACAATGAACCATACAGTCTCACAAGTTCCCTGCCGCTAATTACCTACTTTTGAGGTTTAACCTTGGAGGGTCTAGGATGGAAGGGAGTTGGGATACCTACTTTTGAGGTTTAACTTTTGAGAGTTTAGGATGGAAGGGAGTTGGGAGTGGCGGTGTGGTGGTGATGGATGGCTAAAAGTGATGATAACGATGGTGAAAGAGAGTGGATGGATGGAATAAAAATTAAAATTTTCAAATTGAAGATCAAAGTATTCTTAAAATCAAAATGTATACTGAGATTTTTTATTTTGTTTATGTATATACTAAAAAGATATTCATTAAATATATGCACTATGAAAAATTAGTATTTAAAAATAGAATTACTATTCTTTGTTCAATGTTAACTATTTCTCAGCCTCCTTTCTTTCCATCCCATGTCTTGCCATTCACCATCACCTTTCCTTCCCAGTACATTCCACTCACCATCTCATACTAAAGCCACCATTCTTAATAGGATACATTATAAGCCGCGTCATAAAATTGGTTTAAAATATAAATTATTTTTTATAATTCTAAAAATTACATCTCATTTATTGAAGTTTTAATTTCATAACAAATAGTATATTTTATTAATAGATTGTAAAGTCACTTAATAATTTTTAATGATGTCAAAATTTTATTTTAATTAATAAATCAAGTAATTTTAGTAGGAAAAGTCTAAAATAACTCTCCCATTTTTAGTAATAAAAACAATGCACAATATTATTTTATGATGCCTTAAGTTCTTCAACCCCACATTCATATATCACAGAGAAATTTAATTTTGATTAAATCAAATTTCATCTCTATCTCTCTACTTTTCCTTATTTCATCTCTCTCTCTAAATCCAAACCACACTTTATTCCCTTCAATGCACTTATAGATCTCAAGACTTCAATTCAAACCCAAACCCAGATTCAAAATCCCCCAAATCAGAGACCTATCAAAATTCTCAACAAACCCATTTCTCAGAAGATGATTCAAGAAGTCTAGACTAGGTCTACCATCATCACGTGAACAGGACCAAGTCTGACACCAACCCCGCCTCTAGCGAGTTACCGGAGAAGCTTCCAGCAAAGATTCAGAAGTTGGCGAGCGCCAAGTTGACTTTAGCGCACTTCGAGAATGACGAAATCATGGAGGCTCCCCGTCCAACGAAGGTGAATGAGGGTAAAGTCTTCATGGAGGCTGTAGAAAATTAACAGGTTGATGCGAAGGCTGATGATTTCATTAACAGGTTCAAGCAACAGTTGAAATAGGTATTTGGAAAGGGTAGGATAAGTTTGAAGTTCTGGTCTCATGCAAAGAGGAGACGTTAGATGTCGTTTTCCCTTTTGTTTTTTCGATGGCAATAGATGCTTTTATGGTTGATTATTTGCATAGAAAAGGCAATCAAGTTTTTTGAGACATTTTCTGACGTAAAGGAGAGAGAGAGAGATTGGGACATGGCAGAATTGATGGGAATAATCCATTGAGAGGCTAATAGATATCATCTATGGGGGCAAAGAGAGACTTATTGAAATAGAGAAATTGTATTGATTTAGGGAGCTAAAGTGTTGACGAGAAGGAAGGAGTTGTGGCTTTTGATCTTTTTATGCATTATATGGATCATAGAGCATAACTATAGACTTTTGCTGGT